GGGTGTTGATTTGGGAATTTGGGTATTGGGAATGGACTGGAATTGACAATAGGGATCCGATTAATTTGCTAGGAAAAAAATAGGAATTGAAAATTGTATATCCGATTAATTTACTAGGAAAAGAATATGAGAAAATTTTCCAACTAAACATAAGCATATTTCAAACATACAACAAACTATTCAAAAACCAAAGCTTGTATAGTATGAGAAGGAAAACTGCAAAAAAAAAAAAAAAAAAAAAGGAAGGCATTGTTACCTCTTTTCAGGCAGCGACTGAGACGAACAAGGCTTGAAACCGACTGAGACGAATAACGCTTGTATAATTCTTAATGGATTAAGAGGAATGATCGTCTGATTTCTTGAGCCAGCAAGGAGATTGCAATACCTATCTCGGTCTCCAACGTTCTTGTATGGTTCGCGTGATTTGGTAAAGGTTTCTTGGGTTCTGTGAAGAAGACGACGGTAGCTGGGTCTCTGTGAGTTATTGGAATAATAAGAATTGGGCTGCTAATTTTGGAATTTGGGTATTGGGAATGGACTGGAATTGACAATAGGGATCCGATTAATTTGCTAGGAAATGAAAATTGTATATCCGATTAATATATTAGGAAAAGAATAAGAGAAAATTCTCCAGCCAGACAGAAGCATATTTCAAACAAACAACAAACTATTCAAAAATCAAAGCTTGTATAGTATGAGAAGGAAAACTGTAAAAAGAAGAGAAGGAAGGCATTGTTACCTCTTTTCAGGCAACGACTAAGACGAATAACGCTTGTACAATTTTCATCGGATTGAGAGGAATGGTCATCTGATTTCTTGAGCCAGGAAGGATATTGCAATACATGTCTCGGTCTCCAACGTTCTTGTACGATTTGCGTGATTTGGTGAAGGTTTGTTGGGTTCTGTGAAGAAGACGATGGTAGTTGGGTCTCTATGAGTTGTGAGAATAATAAGAATTGGGCTGCTGATTTGAGAATTTGGGTATTGGGAATGGACTGGAATTGACAATAGGGATCCGATTAATTTGCTAGGAAAAAAATAGGAATTGAAATTATATATCCGATTAATTTGCTAGGAAAAGAATAGGAGAAAATTTTCCATCCAGACAGAAGCATATTTCAAACAAACAACAAACTATTCAAAAACCAAAGCTTGTATAGTATAAGAAGGAAACCTGTAAAAAAAGAAGAAGAAGGAAGGCATTGTTACCTCTTTTCAGGCAGCGACTGAGACGAATAACGCTTGTACAATTCTCAACGGATTGAGAGGAAAGGTCGTCTGATTTCTTGAGCTAGCAAGGAGATTGCAATACATGTCTCGGTCTCCAACATTCTTGTACGGTTCGCGTGATTTGGTGAAGGTTTGTTGGGTTCTGTGAAGAAGACGACGGTAGCTAGGTCTCTGTGAGTTGTGGGAATAATAAGAATTGGGCTGCTGATTTGGAAATTGTGATTTGAATTTGGGTATTGGAATGGGCTGGAATTGGTACAAGTCATAAAATTGAGATAGCAATTTTTAGCCTAAATAAAAAGTATTTAGCAATTTTAAGGCCTAAACAAATTGTATATCCGATTAATTTGCAAGGAAAAAAATAGGAGAGAATATCTTTTTTTCCTCCTTATTTCACCTTTTAATATCCCTAAAAATAGGGATCCGTTTTTTCTTTTTAATATTGTTGCTAGATATTCCTATAATTATGAATTGAGTTATTTTATTTTATTTTTATTTAGCTCGGTTATCTTGTTTCTCTAAAAGGTATTTATTGTTTTATTTTGACCCTTTTTTATTTGCAGTAAATATTAGTTAAAATATTTTTTTTTTTACATTTTACCATTGAATTTTTTTCATATGTATATAATGTATTAGGTGAATAAAGATCAATGTATACCGAAACAAATGTATACTAATTTATCAGGTGAATAAGAACCAATATATTTCAATTTATTAGGTGAATACGAAAAAATGAATATCAATCCAAATAATTGAATACAAATTTGTTAGGTAAATGTATTAGTAGATGTATACATTATATGTATGCAAACCCAACTTAAAATTAATTTAAAAATAATTAAATGTATACCAGTACGTATATCAATTTACTAGGTAAATACAAATCAATGAATAACAATGCTAACATATGTATATAAATTTGCTAGGTGAATTTATTAAAAAAAAGGTATACAAGAAAACTCAGTTAAAAATCAATTTAAAAATAATTACATTCAACAAACAATATGTGCATACATACCAAACATGTGTTAAGCAATCCAAAAATTCAACTACAACCTCCTTCATAATCAAAATCATTAACCCAAACTTGATCAACTTTTTTTCAGAAAACTTCTCTTCCCCATCAATCTATAAGCAAAATCACACAAGAAACACGTCAAACCATCACTCAAGTAATGCCCAAATCAATTTTATAGGACTCCAAGAAATGTCCAAATCGTAAAGTTATTCAGCACTTGTAAAACCAATAAATTTTGATTCTTTTTTGCTGTAAAATATGACATGAAATTTTGTGGAACTCCAATGGAGAAAACTTGAAAGAAAGTGAAAACGTGGAGGAGATAAACATGATAATGGAGAGATTTTAGGGATATATGAGAGAAATATTTGAGAGATTTTAGGAGAGTAAATAAGTTAGAGAGCGTTATTGGAGAGAGAATATTGGTTATTAATTATTATTAAGAAATGCCAAATTTATTAGCCCAAAACGTGTAAAATGGCAATTTTGTGCCATTTTTTTAAAACATGGCTAATGGATGCTACAAATTGAAGTCTGAGTTGACTCACTGTGCCATTTTCCTCAATGGGCTGTTGGTGCTGGAGAAGAGAATTGGGCTCAATATGGGAGGCAAAATGTGGCTAGAATTGAGTTAATTACTAAATTTGGCTAAAAATTAAATACGATAAATTAATGTTACTTAATTATGGGAAAATTTCATAAATAGCTAAGATGTGAAACATAATAGACTTCCACAGCTAAAGTTTGCATATTTACGTAGTGTAGCTATAGTTCTAATGGCTAAACTAATTCGAGTTTGTATAATTTAGATTTTTTTAATTAATTATACAATTTGTTTATTAAGTTCCTATAAATGATGCGGCAATTTAGATTAAAAGAATGATCCGTTAATTCATGATTATTATATCTAATTAGAATTTTTTACCTAATGACTTCTTCTTGTATATAACAGTTGTATATGTATATAATTGAGTCGCGTTTACAAATAAAAATTGTAATTGAAGTATATCAGTTTGTATAAACGATATGATATATAGCAGTTTGTATATCTTTATGAATTATTAAAATTATTAAGAGTTGAGAAAAAAATTGATAGTTTCACAAACTATGGGAGTTTTATGTTTATAATAAATAAATTAATTTAAGAGATTTAAATTGCATGTTCAAATAAATTCTAAATTCAAATCAATCCATTTTTACATCATGACTTGATCATGTCCAAACGAGCAGAAAGAGGAAAAATTTGAACTTGTAATTCCTCCATTCCATATTAGTTGTCAAATTTCTTTCATAATGCTCATTAAAATGTCATAAATAAGAAATATTTTTGCTATATAATTTATCTTTAACTCTTTTAAATGTAATCAATATTCTTTATTTTATGAAATAACTAATTTAAGGATAAACGGAAAAGATTGAAAGGGGCCAAAAGCCCACAGAGAACTGAACGAAATTTTATTTACTCTCCATTCTCTCTTAAATAAATAAAGTTCGCCTAGACACCTATCTAATTATTTTTCCTCTTAGGGTGTGTTTGGTTTTCCATTTTTCTCATGTTTGGTTGGTTAAATGTTTTTCAAATCAACTCATTTTCCTCAAATTTAAGGAAATTGGCTTGCCTTCAAAAATTAAGAAAAACATTTTCCAAAATTTTCCTCCAACTTCAAATTACAATTTCTTTTGTTTGAAAAATAAATTTAAAGCTTTTTAAAAAAAATATTTTCAACTTCAATTTTTTATTTTATTACCCCACCCTCACCCCTTAACCCTTCCCCTGCCAGCCCCCTACGCCCCCCCCTCCAAAAAAATAATAATTTATAGTTTGTTTTTAAAAAATATTTTCAATTTCCAATTTTTATTTTTTCACCCCTACCTTCAAACTCCCCCCCTCCATCAGCCCCCACCCCCCTCCAAAATAAAAGAATTTTAAGTATGTTTTAAAAAAATATTTTCAACTTCAATTTTTTTATTTTTTCACCCCCACCCCCACCACCCCCCCTACTAGTCTCCCCCCTCCCCCAAAAAAATAAAATTTAAAATTTGTTTTTAAAAAATATTTCCGATTTCCAATTTTTATGTTTTCACCCCACCCCCCTTCAAAAAAAAATTAAGTTTATTTTTAAAAAATATTTTCAATTTCAAATTATTATTTTTACCCCATCTCATCCCTACCCCCTCCCCCGAGCCACCCCCCCCCCCACCACTCCCCTCCCCCCCACAAGAATATTTAAGTTTATTTTTTAAAAATATTTTCTCAAAATATTTTTTATTCATAAATCAAACACTAAAAAATCTTTTTCGGAAAATATTTTCTACTTACCAATCAAACATGAGAAAATAAGTCAAAAATCTACTTATTTTCCAGGAAAACATTTTCGTTCGTACCAAACACACCCTTAGCTTTACTTCTCAATGACTTCTATCACTTACTATAATTTTCCACTGCTATATGGTAATTGATGCCCTCGGGTTTTTCTCTTAGGCGCCGTTCGGTAACTGGTTAAGAAGCAACTTATCCATGTATTAATTTATGTATAAGTTAAACAACATTTGGTAACTAGTTAGAAAAATAAGTTGTTCATGTATAAAATTAATAACATGCTTGATTTGTAATTTAGAAATCCACATAACTAATACATATATAAGTTATGAGGAAATTGATGTATTTATCTTATGCAGGATGGAAGATGATATAACTAATACTTGCATTAGTGATACCCAATGATCACGTATAGAAATAAGTCATAAGAGATGAAGAAATTAAATTTCCATTTCATTGGAGTGAAACTCCTGTTTTTGAGTACCATTAATTGTACTCAATATGAGTTACAACAATGAATTCTGGCCTTTCACCAGTTTTAGGTGCAAGTGAATTACAACATCTCTCAGGACTTTTCCCTCTTATAATACACTTTGAATTTTCCCCAGCTTTGTCAGTCACAGTACTCAACAACTATATATAGTATTCCCACAAAGCTAGCTAACACATTTCATCATCTAATAAAGTCAGAAACTTCCCATTATCCCTTTGTTTATGCTCGAATTCGCCTTAATGCAAGGTAAGCGATTAATCGATATCCAACAAACATTATCAGAAGGATTCCAAGGCTCATGGATGGATGAATTTGGCCCATGATATCTTGTTCAATAAATTTGCAGTTAGCTCTGTCACTTCCTTGAATATGTGAGCAGCCTAGCAAGTCTGAAATTTCCTTGCCTTCGCCAAATTGGACATCGATAAGTAGTCGATAACTGTAAAATGTGGTTGAAATGTACTTGATCCAAGCTAGACAAGCTGGCACTTTGTGTACGTAGAACCCTCCCGTTAGAACAAATGCTAGCATCGTGACAGTGATCACGGTTGAAGCTTGTTTAGCATCCATGATTATAGCGCCAAGAGCTAGGCCGAGGCCTTGTGACACTATCACGTAGCTCAACAGGACTAGTAGTGTCAAAAGGAATGCCAAGAGTTGTGGCTTTAGCCCGGCCATCCAATACGTTATGGTAAGAAACAATGTAGGCAAGATAAGGTCCATAGGTAGATCTCCAACAATTCGCGCCATGAAATAAGAGGAGAGTGTGTACATACCGGAAGCCCTTTCCTTCATGAATATAGCACGTTCTTGAGGGAACGCGAAAACAGCATTAAACGATGGGAAAACACCCCAAAAGATGGAAATGAAGAAGAGGAGGCCAAGCCTGTCCTGTATATCCCTATAATCAGAATGCCACCACATTGAACCAGCTAATAGAGAGGCTGCAATTACTTGAAAGACTCTCAAATAATTGAACGTCTCGTGTCGTCTTTCCTTTAGCCCTCTTTGAAGGAGAATGCTAAATTGATTGAACCAATTGGAAATGCAACTTGTGCAACTTCTTTTAGAACTAGAACAAGTATAGGCTCCCTTGTTCATGATTTCTTTAGGAACTATGTTGGTTGTTTCCAAACAAGCTGCTTTCACCTTTGGAGCTAACACATTGTTGTAAGTGGATATCAAAGTTTGTTTTACATTAGGCTTATCTTTCTCACTTACTCCATCAAACTGGCAAACCCCTGCATTGTTCCAAGTTTAAGCTTTAGTCCGAATTCCAATGTAAAAAAGAACTTTAAGATGTTTAATCGTACAGTTTAACTTCTATACAATGACAGAGTTTTAACACTTTCAAGTCACTTAAAACAAGTAATAGTACATAGTAATATAAAAAATGAGACAAGTTACCTACTACACTACGTTAAAAAGATACTGGCAGGATAAAGATTGTCTACACTATCCATGTATTTAAGTTACATCATTTTATTAATAAACAAAAACATAGTTTTTTCAAGTCTTAAATTTGCTTGTATACCACAATTGATATGTCTAGGTTCTAGACAATGTCAATCCTTGTTTTAGATATTCAAAGGAATATCACATCATAAAATTAAAGAAATTGCTAGTTGCAAGATGGTCATAAAGCCATAAAGGCAACGTACAGCTACAAAGAAAACTGCTTCTCTAGTACTAATTATTGTGGGGGCACCCCCTAATAAAGACATCTAACTATTCAAGTATTTGATAATAAATTTATCAAATCAACTTAATCCTGTCAATAACATAGTCATACTTCCCCAAATTGTAAGCTACTTACTGTTACAAATGGAAAAAGTAGATATGTATCTTTAAAGTTAGGACTATAAATAAAAACAATAAAGTCGTGTTACCACTCAAAATTATTTTTATAAAAAGAAAGAAAAAGGCTTTGTATCACATAATACAAAGTGTATTTTTAAAAGCAAAACAAAAGAGACAATTAATTAATTAGTTGTACTAGCTAGCAAGTAATAATAATAATAATTAGTAGTATTGAGGAAGTAATTAAAGCTGTCCAATGTTGGTGGCAAAGGGTGGAAGTCCACTAAAATAACATAATGCTCTATTACTACTATTGATAAAAGGTGCCACCATCATCTCCACTACTTATTTTTCTTCTTTCACTATTCACAAAAAAAAGTTTAATTTGGTGGGATGAATCTGAATGCTTATTGATTTGCAAAGGACCCTAACACGTGTTGCTATTTCATAAACTTGTTAATATCAAAAGAAAAGTAGAACAAGAAAAAGAATTGTTCTTGTTGAATAAAGGAAAGGAGGTGGATAAAAGAAGAAAAAAGAATTCTTTATAGATCAAAGATGCCTATCAATTATTTTATTTTTTTTTGCATTAAAAGTGAGGCTAGGTTTGAGTGTGACAAGTGTATTTTATCATTCTAGCTTAAAGTGTATATAATTTAGACACATTTATAAATCAAAAAGTTATCAATTCTCTTTTACTCCATATGTTTCGTGATATAATTGGTAGTTCATACTTTATTGTCTTCATACTATTCATGGATTTACTTTAAGGTAGATATGGACTTTCCAAGAAGTTATATTCCTTAGATTAGTTAAAAATACTATCAAGTGCATGTCAGATTATTCAAAAATCGTAACAAGGGTTATATCTATAATAATTGAACTAGCTCTAAACTATTTCAATTGCTTCACTTAAATCATATTGGACTTCTCTATTACTGCTATTGCATAACATCTATATCTGTATAGAGAAAGAAGTTATCAACTAAGGTGTACTTTGACCATGTGCCACTACACTTAAAGGTAGTCAAATAATTATGAAACATTGAACTTATAAGTGAACATCATTAACAAATTACTCTAGTCTAGATACAATGAAATTGGCCAAGGTTTATAAAGCAAGAAGAATCAATTCACATTAGCCCCTTAATATTTTGGACCAAGAATAACATCAATTTTTATTTTATTTTATGTAGTTGACAAAAATATCATATATTACGAACTAATGGTGCTAAAAGTAGATAAGGGTTGAAACTATCTCAGCCAATAAATATAAAAATACTTGGAGATCTTGATGCTAGCTTTATTTTCCTCAAATGTTTTGATCCATCAGATAAAACATAAAATATACACATCCAAGATTTCCAAGAACCTTAACCATAATGCCTACCCTCTTAGCCTATCTAGTAAACAACAAGATAGCAAACCATGTGCTACTCTATTACTATCCCATTATGAGTATGACACCCAACAACACATGGAGGGATCCTACAAACTACACCCTCAATTTAATTGTCTTGCTACTTTTTTGGAACGTTTCAAAAAGAGTGTCTCTTTTTATATATAGTAAGTTTTTCACTTCTAACATTCTACAATACATTTTTTGTTTAAGATCACAAAATTCAACAGTCTTCCTTTGTTTCTTAAACTTTATGTCCAGTCAAACTTAGATACTTAAACTGAATCGAAGAGAGTGAAATTTATATTATATATGTCTATAGGTAAAAGTTGGAAAGGGTGATGGTGGAGTCATTAACAAAAAGCATATGATTAAATTAAGGAAAGATTAATGTGGAGCCCAAGCTAATTCAACAAAGTTTAGGAAGAGAGTTTTGAGGTGCTTTCTTTTTCTTTTCCTTTTTTGGGGTGGGGTTAAGTTCTCATGTGTTCCAATTTAGTTGGTCCCATATTATATATGGATGCTAATCTACGCAAGCAATGTTGTCACACTTCCCTAATTTGATCCATGTTATCAACATGTTGTCCAATGAAAAATCAAATAAAAGGAGCAAAGCTCATTTTATGTTTTGTTTAATATTCTAAAGTATTACATATGCATTATGACCTCAAAACTAATATTAAAAAGAAGAAAAAAAACAGGTCAAAGTGGTGTCCAACAATAGTTTGTATGCTATATTTATTACTTAGAACTATAACTTTTAGCTTAGTGACATGTCCCCACACTAAACTATTCTTTGAGAATATTATAGAAAAACAAGAATCATGGAAACACCCTGCAATGACAAAGCCTCAAAATCCATAAACAAGATTTGCAAGTACTTTGAACACAAATTTTCTTTCAAGAATAGAGTATCAATATTCTTAGTGGAGTATGACCCAATGTTGATAGAACCCCTGACCCCAAAACCAGAAACAAAATTATTTGATATTGAGACAATTGTTGTGTTGCACTTTTTTTTTTCATGAGTGATGTCCGGAGTCAATTTATTTGCATCTCGATTATTTCAATCGAAGTCAATTGTTATCTTCCATCAATATACGTATAAAGTGATTTTATCAACAAAAACTTAGACAGATAGACAAATCACCTACGTACTAGCTAGCTAGTATTATTTGTTACTATCAAGATTTGGACCCTGGTCGCTAAGGTTTACACTCACTTAATTGACCACAAAGGTACTTAGTATGACTTTATTGGAAGGTTAACTATCTCTAAATTGTGCTCCTCCATTGAAGTAGGGAAGGACCACAATTGGTACAAATCCTGCACAAAAAAAACTAGCTATATATGCTCTAAAGTATTGAGAGGATGGATGGCTATCTCTTGAATTGTACTACTCTACAAATAGAGAAGGACCATATATAATCATTCACCTTAAAAAACCTAGCTATGCCATTGGACCATTACCTCTTATGTTCATGATATTCTACTTCTTTGATTACTTAACACAAACATAAGTTGACATTTTCTTAAAAACTTAACCAAACAAGATGATGTTTTCTACAATAATGACCAATGACGAAGCTACACTTGTCCAAAGGGAGTTAATTGATACCCTTTTGTCAAAAAAAACATGGGAATGGTTTACCATATGTTACTTTTTATATTCGTAATAAAAATTCTGACTCGACCGTATCACAAGTTGAAGCCCAAGTATTTTTCAAGGTCATTCATATCAAGAAATCTTTTGCCATCATGTTTCCCATAATCTTTCAATACTCCATGATGATAAAGTGATGGCTATCTAAGAATTTACTCATGAGATATTAAGGGTGCCACAACAAAGAGCAGAAATACAGAGTTTAAAGATTGAAGAACTCTTATCAAGATAAACCATAACATGTCACTATCAAACTCTTTCAAATATAGATAGTCAACTCTGAAATAACAAACCTCTTTCTCTTTGTTTTCTGTTAAAAAGCCAATTTTAAATATAGGACCTAGTACTGAAGCATCCCTATCAGTCATTTAAGGTATTTGTTCTTCAGCAATTAATTCATAATCAAGAATGCCATAACACAACAGCTACAGGGTCCACTTTGCAAGTACTCTCTGTTCTGTTCCTTTTTAGTTGTCATGTTACGTTTTTCAAAAGTTAATTTGACTAATTTTTAAAGTTAAATCAAATTATATTTCAATATTTTAAACTAAAAATTTAGATCTTCAAATGTTAATCAAAGTTCTTATTGTTTGATTTTAAAAAAAGAAAATTATGACAACTGAAAAGGAGCGAAGAAATATATAAATAAATTAAAAGGAGTCCCATCTTTCCATCAATGGTTCCCCACATTTGAAAAAATAGCAATTAGCATCAAGTACTTTTTTGGAATGATTTACCATATTAAAATGTTTCTCAGGTGTGTTTGATTTAATTAATTATAATAAATCTAATCCAATAATGCCGTCTTATTTTCTTCTTTTTTATGCAAATTATAGAATTTTAGAATAAGGTTTGAGTTGGAAGGAAAAAAAAAAAGTATGGCCAACTAGCATTAAAAAAAGTAAAAAAGGGACACGTGGAGGGTTGATATTTGTTTTACCTAGTAGCTTGTTCCACCAATTTTAACTTTCTCAAGATTCAAATCTTAGTACGTACCTAATTCCCTAGGATGAATGTTATCCACTGAAACAAAAAGTTACCAACTTTCCATTAAAAATGATTACTGTCACAATCCACCACGACCACTTAGGTAATGTAAGGGCTCGTTTAGTTGGAAATAAATTATTTTGAGATTAATTATCTTCAAATTAGTTTAGAATTGTTATTCAGATACAAATAATATTATAATTTCAAAATAAGTTATTTTACAATTTTGTCCAATCAAACATGAAATAAGCTTATCCTAAAGTTAATCCCGAAATTAATTACCTCTCTTATTCCTCATACCAAACGGATCCTTAATCTTCACTTAAATACAAGTTAATTTTCATAGAATATTTAGTTTTCTCTATCTCATATTTTCTCTATACTTGTTAATTAGTAGAAATTTGTTACCTTATTAGAATCGATAAGGTAAGATTTAGCCCCTCTTACTTATACTTAATATTGCTAGACATTTTGTCTAAATGGTATAAAATATATATTTTTTTTTAAAGAAAAGATCAAGAAGAAAAAGGAAGGCTTTTAAAAAAATGATATCAAAAAGAAAAATAAAAGATATCAAAAAAATAAATCTAGATAGAGTGAAAAGGAGAAAGTGGCCCATATCTACTTTAGGACCTTTGGATCAGTTTTGCATACACATAATAAATTGGACATGTACCTTAATAGTTAGCCAAGTACAGCTGGGTGACTCTTTAAACTAAACTTTTTGTATAGTGAGTAGTCGTAGTAACTTCCAATTTTCAATGTTTTTAACATTATCACCAATTATACAACCAGCTAATACCCTTGGAAGTTGATATTTTCTAGTTGTCACACCAAAAAAGAAATTTCAACTCCCCTAGTCACACCAATGGGCCCCTAAACCCTAATTAACTTGTCACACATTCTATAGTCTTAATTTTGACCACTAATTACCTTAAGTATCCTAATCACCAAAATATTGTTCTTCAACAACCTTTTCTAAGGATCGAAAAATATCCGAGAATAAGTGACACACAATTTGAAACTTAGTGGATAATAAATAAAATGTCCATCTATTTTTCTCTGCTTAAATAACAAGTTCTTAATTTATTTTTTTTATATTAGTAATACATACACATTTGACACACAAATCAAATATTCCGCTCTTATCACTAGACCAAAGTCAAGAGACTTACTTCATAAACTGACCATCAATCAATCACTATGCTCTCATTATATAGTAAGAAATCAATCAAAACCACATATTTTGTAGAAATTATGTGTAGCAACCCTAAATAGAATTCAGACAACATGTACATGACACAACACCTAATTAAATCAAATTCAAACATCTAATACTATTTCCACTATTTTAAAAATAAATAAATAAAAATTTCTGATAATTTTTTAATTTTAACTTTTCACGTAACATTTAAGATATTTTATCCTGACATGTTAAATTCCGTATCAATACAAAATCAGACAAATAAATTGAAAACGACAATATCACCATATTTTGTTCAAAAAAATAAAGTAGTTCAAAAACATGCTTCTACCATATATTTGAGTATATAGATAATAGACAAAAGAGAATACGTACCATTAGCGAGATCAAGGAGGAAATCAGCTGGATTCATGGGAAAAGATGGAGAAAACCCAACCGACTCAAAATAACTCATAGCTTCATTTCCTTTTCCAAAATACAAACACCTCCCTTCCGACAAAACCAAAACCGAGTTAAACATTTGAAAAACCCGGCTCGACGGTTGGTGAACCGACGTAATTATCGTTTTCCCCTTTTTCGCTAATGACCCCAGTGTCGACACCAGCCGGTAAGCCGCTGTAGCGTCTAAACCGGACGTCGGTTCATCCAGTATTAGTAAACTCGGGTTTATTAACATTTCATGAGCTATACTGACTCGCTTTCTTTCACCGCCTGAAACTCCACGAATAAAGCTGTTTCCAATGATTGTATCTTCACATTTATTGAGACCTAACTCGGTAATTACCGAGTCAGTGACGGCTATTTTTTCGTTCCGGTTCAGGGAGTTGGGTAATCGGAGGAGTGCACAGAAGATTAAAGTTTCTCGAACCGTTAAGTGTGGGTAAAGGACGTCGTCTTGTGTAACGAACCCGGTTCGTTTTAAGACTTGTTTGGTAAGTTTCCGGTTATTCGCGAGGATTGTTCCGGTGTAGTTGTGTCCTTGGAGTCTTCCTGCAAGTGCATTTAGGAGCGTTGATTTACCACTACCTGATGGTCCAAGAACGGCTAGGATTTCACCTGGTGAAACCATGCCGGTAATTCCGTTCAAGATTGTACGTTCTTGATGAATTACAGCCGTTTGATTCTCTATATCAGATGATGTGGGCCCAGGGCTAGTTGAAAACATCTTTATTAAGTTGTTGCTTCCACCACTTGTTGATTTATTCTCAAGTTTTATCCTATAACTTATGTCCATGAACTGCAAAAATAATTCAACACCATTATTATCATAATAGACAAGTCAATTTTCTTCAAGTCAAATCATGTTTAGTATTATTTTTTTCCACTTCACTCTCCTACTACTTGACTCTTGCACTAGATTTTTATACCAACTTGACATAGAGTTTAAGAAAGTAAAGAACGTAAAAAAATGATTATTTAGTTTCGATTTATTTGATCTGATACAAAGTTTAAGATAGTAAAGAACAATACATAAAATGATTGTTTAACGTGACACGAAATTTAAGAAAGTACAGAGAAAATGATGGTTTACCTTAAGGGTGATAGGATAAGTAGAGGAAGACATGATAAAAGGGAAGTCTTTGTTTGTTTCTTCTTCCATTAGTGTTGTTGTTGTTGCTGCATTCATTGTTGTTGTTTCTTTGCTTGTAATAGGCATTTGTGTAGTTTCTTCTTTCTTTTTAAGAGGAAAAAGAGGGAGAAAAGGCAAAGTAGTATAGATAGAAAGACAAAAGGAGAGAGTGAATTAGAATGGATGAAGAGGAACTAAGAGCTCAAGGGAGAAGCTCTATTTATTTGCTTCTAAGGAAGTGAATACTTGCCACGTCATACTAGGCAACCCTATGGGGATATGCTACGTGGCACTTGGATCTTATAACCACCTGTACTTTCTTCTTTTTCTTTAGTTTATTTTACTTTTTAAAATGGGATGTGAGGGTAAGTGGAGATGAGGAATGCTTTTTCCGTCTTATTTTAGCTGTCGTTTTAATTTTTTTTATTTTGTTTGAGCAAAAAATAAGAAATAAAAAATATTTTTATTTATTAGTAGTAGATATTTTTGTAAAATTTAGCAGTCTTAAAAAACAACTTATTAATATTTAAATTTTTGAAATAAGAATTATTTTGAGATAATTTTGTATGTTAAAGTGACGGTGTACATATAATTGAGGGAGTATAAGTGGAAGTGAGAAAGGCCGCCTTTTTTAAGGCCTTATTATTTTCTCCATTTCAGTTTTATTTTTCAAAAAATAATATTTTAATTGTTCACATGATATATTTAACATATAAAATTAAAAAAGTAATTTGGTACAATTATATATCTTTAATTATTTTTTCTATCTCAATTTATGTGATGTAATTTTACTTACCAATTTATTTATTTTTAAAAAAAGAAATATCTCTAAAATTTATGATTTAAAATAAATCATAGATATTAGTAGTTAGGTATAACTAAAGATAAAATAAATATTTAAAAGTTAAATAATTACTAAATATTGAAAAATAGTCATTCTTGGACTTTGATTAAATTAGAATAGAGAAAAATATATAATATTAAGACTACAAAAATCATTTTTTAAAATTTTGTTGAAATTTTATAGCAAATTAAAATTAGACAAGTAAATTAAAACGAAAGAAAAAATAATATCATCCCAAACTTCCAAAATCTCTCTCTTTTTTCCTTTTTACATCTTCCTTAATTAAGAGAGAGAGAAAAAGATAAGTGCGTAATGAGTGATCTAAGGAAACATAATGGACGGGGGGCTATGAATGAGAAGATTTGGGTGTTGAGTGGGTTAAATAAAATAAAATAAAAAGTGAATTTCAAAAGAGAAACTAATTTACCAGTGTGAGGGAATAGTGTTAATGACTGTTTTTTTAAATTATTTTTTATAAGAAAATAAACACAGAAGAATTTAGCAAGATTGGAGAATGGGATGGGGAAAAGAGAGGAAAATTATAGATGATAGTTTTGATAATATATAAATTGTTATTCAAAAATATTTTATGTCTGGTAAAATATATACGATTAATGTTGAATGAGGTGTATTAATAATGTGTGCATTCGGCCATCTTTATCTCTTCGTCGAAAAATTATATTGTGTACAAAGATTAAATTTTGATTTAATGAATATATACATGTATTGACACATCTTGATACAAGTTAAAAGTTGAGAAATTTTCAAAATATCAAAGATAATAGACATAACAAGGTTCTAGCTATAGTTTCGATAATTACGCTCTATAACTATAGTTTCGTTTGCTATGGAGGCTACGATTTGTATATTTCGCTTGTCTGTCGTATATTTCACTTGTGAATATACAAATAGGGCAAGTAGATACACCTGTATTTATACATTTAGGAATGTTCAGAACCCCATTTGTATATTTCACTTGCCAACATACAAACATGGTAATTTATTTTAAAAAATCATAAATCGTATACAAATTGCTAGGGTAAGCATATACAAATTCTGGATTTATACAATCAAAAATCAAATTATACATATTCTAGATTTATACCATCAGAAACCGGAAACCGATTTATACAAAATATGAATTTATACATTAGGAAACCGAATATTCGCGAAACTGTAGTCACAAATTAAAAATAATTGAAACTATAGCTATATTACTAGATGTTTTCCATTTCACGTAATTTTCCCTTAAAAGTTTAGTGTAGTGGTAACAATGTTGCGAATATTCCTTAAGGTTGTCTGTTCTAGTTCTACTAGCCTCATGATTATATTTCTTACTACAACCACTGACATTCCTTAATAACAATCATGGGTTCGCTACTATGTGCATCAGTAATATTTGTATTAGTTATCAAAGTTGAAAAGTTGAAAATTTTAAAAATAGCAAAGATAATGGACATAATAAGACTCTATAGCTATAGTTTCGGTAATTGCGCTCCATAGCTATAAGTTTGTTGCTATGACGGTTGTGGTTTATATATTTCTCTTTCGAATATACAAACAAAGTAAGTTTATACAAATTTTGTTTTTATACATTTAGGAATTTTTCAGAAGTCCGTTTGTATATTTCGCTAGCCAACGTACAAACATGGTAATTTATTAAGATTTTTTCATAAATCATATACAAATAGTTAAATAAACAATTTTACTCCCTCCGTTTGCTTTTACTTGTCATTTTTGGACTTCACATGCCCATTAAAAAAATTTGATATGAATATTTTATGCATACTATCTCTATTAATTGATGTTTAATATTATCTTGAAAAATAATTTATGGAATAAGTAATTAATGTCAAAAATAAAAAATTAAATATAAAATAATATTTTATTTTTTCTTAATATGTTAAAAATGATAAATACGAGTGAAAATATTGTTTTTACTAAAAGGTATATTATTATTATATAATTTGGTCAATTGACCTACATATTTATAAATTGATATTTCTTTCGTCCCATATTAGATGGCATCTTACTAAAAATATATGTCCCATATTATTTGATCACTTACTAAATAAGGATAGAATTAATTAAAGTTTTCCTATTTTACCCCTACAGTTAATATGACTTTTGAATGTTTAAACAATTTTTAAAACTTCAAGAATTTCTTTTATCAAGAGGCTAATTAATATGATCAAAGGGCAAAACAGTAAATTTGATCAATCTATTAATAATTTCTTAATCATCATGTAAAATAAAATGCGCCAATCTAATATGGTACATAAGAAGTAGTGAGCAAATAAAAATAAACTAAGAAAATAAATACTCTCTCCATCTGTCTTTACTTGTTAATTATACAAAAAATAATGTTCAATAATAATACTTGTCCACTTTGAAAAATTAAGAGATAATTTACCCTTTTGTGTGTATTTTACCCTTGCTATTAAATACTCCCTTCATTTCAAATTAATTGAATTGTTGAGGTGTTTCACACCCTTTAAGAAAAGAGGATTACGACATAATTTAGGCATAACTTTCCATTTTTACCCTTATTATTTATTGGCAAATTTATGATTAAAATAACTAAACATTAATTAAAATAACTAATTCCAATACTAACTAATGAAGGGTAAAGTTGGAAGAATATTCTAAAAATACTCTTGAAGATTGAACAATTAAGTTAATTTGAAAAATGAAAAATGTCTCAACAATTCAATTAATTTGAAATGGAGGGAGTACTATTCAATACTTCCCTCCATTTCAAAATAATTGAATTGTTGAGACATTTTTTATATTTCAAATTAACTTAATTGTTCAATCTTCCAGATTACTTTTAGAATATTCTTCCATTTTTACCCTTCATTTAGATTTACTATGTGATGAGCTAGTTCAAGAAACGTTAATTGCTTTAAATTATTTTCTGTGTGATGAGTTCAAGACATTTTTGCATTATTTTGTATTGGAATTACTCCCTTCGTCCAATAATAGTTGTCCACTATACTAAAAATAGTTGTCCAATAATACTTGTCCAATTTAGAAAATCAAGAGATAATTTATCTTTTGTGACTATTTTGCCATTGCTATTAAATATTATTTATCATCTAACACATTTCTCAAAACATTTAATTTAATAAAGTCAAAGAATAATATAGTAATATTACCCCTATTATTTATTGTTTCTTAAGGGGTGTGCCAAGTCAATAGTGAACAACTATTGCTGGACAGAAAAAGTAGTTATTATGATTAATGTTTAGTTATTCTAAAGATTAGTTTGACAATAATTAATAAGGGTAAAAATAGAAAGTAATGTCTAATTTATGTTCTAATCTTTTTTTCTTAAAGGGTATGGATATCCCAATAATTCAATTATTTTGAATGAAGGGAGTATCTAATACATTTTTTAATGTATTAAATTTAATATATTGAAAGGGTTATATAGTAATATTACCCCTATTAATTATTATTTCTTAAGGTGTGTGCCAAGTTAATACTCCCCCTTCTCTTTTTACTTGTCAAATTTTGACTTGACACACCAATTAAAAAATTAATGATTGATATAATGAATTTAATATTATACTCCTATTAATTGCTAGAATCTTAAACATATTTACTCACTACATTTTTTTAAAACATTAATTCAATGTTAATAAACTGAAGATATAACAAAAAGAAAAAAAATATTCTTCTTTGATTTGCCAAAAATGACAAATAAAACAAATTAATTAAAAAATATTTAATAATAATAAAAAAAATAGTGAACAATTATTGTTTAACGGAGAAAATATATTATTTATGATGAAAGGAATTCTTAATTTGCATGAAGTTAAGGTAACAAAATAAAGAGAGACAGCTAGCTTTTCAGCTACTGTGGGAACTGTGATTTGTGAGTGAAAACATCAATTACTGCCATTCATCATCAGAATAGAGAGAAGTGAATTCAATTGAAAAGAAATTTAATATTTTGTTGTTGGGATATTAATCATCCCTTTGACTAACTGCCATATAAAGTGGCCACTTATTTACCCTCCCTTTGACTTTTACTCCATTTTTTATTAAAAATTATTTCCACTCTTCAATTTTGCTTTAAAATCAAACTTCCCTTATTTTTGAACTATAATTAAATTTTCTTCTTTATTTTATGCATTATTAATTTTATTCTTGTAATACCTCTTTATATTATATATAATTTTATTTTAACCTAGATATTAAGAACTTTTCTTTTAAGTTCAATAACATTATAAGTGGAATAATATTTTATGAATTTGTCAAAATAATTAATATTATTTTTGTGACT